TTAAGGTGGATGTAGACGTTTTGGATATATAATGTAATTAATGTTTATTAATAGATAACGAGATTTATTTGTATTGTACATACGATGATTTTCCTCAATAAGTACTATATTTGTTTATTGGAAAACATACAATCTCTCCGTGTACCACAGATGTACAACACGAGGCTTACAGAAGTAAGTTAATTAAAACATTAAAAGTTGCATGCATAAATAAAACGAACAAAAGCAGAGAACAGCAGTCTGTACTTCACTGGCCAAGTTCACTGGCCAAGTCACTCGGAACATTTTCAAATCGTTCTGCAAGCATCATCTAAAGGCATCAAATATAGGACATGAGAAAATCAAATGTTCCAGATCTTCAGGTACTCTTTTTGAACATTCACACAAATTGTTTGATCTTAGATTGAAATGAAACAGGTAACTGTCAAATTTACCGTGACCAGATAAATACTGAAAAACTTTAAAATTAATAGAGAGGAAAGATTCAGAATGCAGTCTATGGTAAATAGAAGTAAAGAACTTTTTGCTAACTTTAGCATTACAAGATGAATATATTTTTCATTCCACTTAGCTAAAAGTTTTGTTATAATGAAAGGACTTCCAATATATCTTTGGAATAATAATGTTAATATCATTGGGTAATTTTACGGCATTTTTAGCTAAGAAATTAGGTTTTTCCTTCCCATAGAAACAGTGATGAGCACGCAGATAAGAAAAGCGGATATCAATTCCCCTATTTCTAAGCGAACTGACAGTTAATAGGGTTTCGATAACTAATTTGTTGCTGCTGTTAATACTGTTCAAAAGGTGAAGAGAATCAGAACAAAAAAGATACCTATAGAATGTTGTCCCAATACCCTTTATCCATTTGACGGCTAGGTAATTACACAGAAGGTCTGCTTGAAAAACTGTGCCTTCATTCCGTATACGGTGTTTAAAATAACAAACCTCAGAATGGCCTTCAAAAAGAACAAATGCAAGGCCAACCTTATTGATCATCTTGCTGCCATCTGTAAAGAAAACTATATGAAAACTCATTTCAGTAGTATCTCTATAATCTCAAAAATTTATTGGCTCTAAATAAGCTGGATAAGGAAGATCAGGGAAGGGGACATTTCCATTTATGCAGTCTTCCAAAGTTAGTTGTCAGTGCCTCGAAAATACTATTCTTATATTTAATTTCAAAATCAATATTCGGAATTCCTGCAAAAACAAAGTAGCCTCATAACTTAAGGTACTATAACCACTAATAATACTAAGAAGAATTCTCCGTTGAATTTATTTTTTTAACCTTTTTTGCAAGAACATGTCCGCAAGCACTACAGCCTTACGAAGTGAAAGGTACAATACACTGCTTATACATCAGTTTCTTAACATCGTAGCTTACTCCAAAAGTATTTTTGTTCGGTTAGGTGAAAGCCATTAATATTTTTTTTACATTTGGTAGAAAGAAATTCAATGTGCTTTTTCCGTGTTAATTTTTGGTCAAGAATGACACCAAGGGACTTAAAATTTTCTATAAATTCCAAGAGAGAATCATCGAGTATCAAAGGAGCAATATTTTATTCATGAAACTATCTGGGAACAATCATAGCTTTACTTTTTGAAGGCTTGAAAGTGAGCTTATCCAAAATTGCCCAACTGGAGACAAAATCTAGCACTTCTTGTACTCCCAAAAGAATGTTATTTAAAGTCTTTCCTTGGAAAATTAAATGTAAGTAGTCTGAAAATGCAATTTTTAAACAACCGTCAAGATGACTTAAAAGATCATTTATTAGTATGTTCCAAAGAGTAGGTCCGGACATTGAGAATAACCTTTTTCGAGAGAATAAACCTTAGCTTCAGACCCAACCTGAAGCTCAGCGGTCATCCCGTTCAAGAAGCATTTAAGCAGGTTATAGATACTATGTGGTATACTAGCACCTTTTAGAATATTTAAGATAGATGGCCACCGAGCATTTTCAAAAGCATTTTTGAAATACAGGAAAATAAGAAATGTTATAAATTTCGTTTTCTTCATATATTGCAAGATATTATAAAGACGATTTATGGCATCTTCATCAGGCTTCCGATACGTAAACCCGAACTGAGAATCATTATAAAAAAACATTTCTGTCACAAATACCAATTTATTCTGTTAATGAAGAGATTTACAAGACATTTTCCCAAAGTAGGCAAAAGACTAATGCATCTAATATTATCAAGATAAGGATTTCTGGATTTCTTGTATCTAGAACAACCCGAGCCCTCTTCCATTGTGCTGGAAAAATTCCTAATTGTAAACAAAGGTTGAAAGGTATGTGCCAAAACCTTATATCCACTGAATGAAAGTGCTGTACAATTTCATTGGAAAGACAGTCTAGCCCAGGTGATTTGTTCTTCTTGAGACTTTTAATAACACTGGTAACTTCTGAAGTAGAGTACTGATAGTTCATAAATAAAATATAAAATCCCTAAGACTCAGTAGGCATAGTTTTATGAGAATTTCTTTCATCACGCGCATTATCTCTTGAGAAATTCTTTGTCATTATAGCAACAATTGTATCACTCAATCTCGAAGTAATACTGCCCTCCGGGAGTTTAATTCCCGAAATCTCAATCCTGTTCGCAAAATTGATCTTAGCCCCATACTTATATATATATATTTCCAGACATTGTGAACATTACTAGTTGAGAGAAAATTTTTCACGAGTAAAGTTTGGCATTAGCTAATTTAGCCGCATAATTATGTCGCAACTCAAAATACTTAATTTTATGAATATCTTCAAGAACACTGTTCCTTTCACTCTGGAATCTATGCCTAGCAGCATTTACGTATTTTCTATAACAATCAATTTCCTTAGACCACCAAGGAACACTATTCTTCATCAGAATTGAAAATGAAGAACAATTAAAAATAACGGTAGAAAGTCTATTTACAACGTTTTCTAATGCAATACAATCAGATCAGCTGTTAAGAAGGATATTTAAGTCATACAGTTCTCTCTTGCAAAGTTCCGTAAATAAATACCAGTTCGCTCTTTTTCAATTAAAAGGACACAAATTAGAAGATATAACTGGACGAAATGAAACAAGTTCAAAGGTAGTCATTTTACAGAAAGAGAAACTTCCTCAGAGATATCCCAAACTTGAACTTATAGCAGCAATCTCAAGCTAGAGTTGGGTAAGTTACAAAGCGTAAGGTCACTGAAACTCGAGCCATACTTGGAACAGAAAGTAGGTCCGCGATTTTCATTAATTAGAAACAAATGATTCGCACTAATATAATCGCCAAGCTTTGTTCGTCTAGCATTAGTAACAGAAACTATGCCAAACCGCTGATTTGCTATTCGAGTCCATACCACACAGAAAATTGCATGGTTCCATTGTAGGGTTTATATTTATTTTAACTAACATTTATTTTAAGTTTAAACTACCTTTCCTATCAAGCCTTACTTTCCCCTGGAACTGCCAATGCCAGAGTATGTAAATTTTAGTAGAACGCGCAAGGATTCAAATTATCAGCGGAAGTATTCTGAGTTAAATAGAAAGGAAACGAGTTCGAGGTGTGCTGTTCTTACTTCACGAGCGCGGAGGTAGTTAGCCAGAAATTGAAGAACCCCGCGTTTTCGGCCTGTGTGCTTGCCTGGAAGTATTGTTAATCGTTCAACGTGATCTTCAAGTTTTGCTGAATTAGCAGCGGTATTGTAAAACGCGGTGAGGTTAGTTACTTTTAGAGAGCCTCGTAGTTAGAGCTTGTCTTTAGTTTCTTTTCAGGTTATTATTTTTATTTGACCGCCGAGTTGGCGTAGTTTGTGAGCGTCAAGAGCACGCACTTTGTAATTTATTACGATGAATAAAAAGGGACTTAAACCCTTAACAAGACTCTGTCTTTTATCCAGTTTCAACAGTCACCTCTTGGTTGCGTGCAAGTTGGAGGCGCGCAACGCTACACCTTAATCGTTAAAATACGTTAAATTTTTAATAATTCGGTATCAATATTAGTTTGGATCTCAAGATAAGCGGAACAAATAGTCAGATCACATGCATTAATTTTTATATCTAAAGTAGTATGTTAGTTTATATCTAAAGTAGTAAAGTTATTTTATATCTAAAGTAGCATGTTTTTGAATTTAGAAAAACAGAATTATTTTGTTTCGAAACTGTTTAATGATATTAAAAGGAAAAAGAACGCTTATATAACTCTTGAAAACAACCTGCTGTAGTAATTAAGAAGTCAAATTTCTACATATTTAAAACATACATTAAAAAATGGTAGATTTCTGAAATATTTGAAAAGATCGGTAATAACTTAGAATTCAAATTTCTAGTTTGAATTTTGGAGCAGAATTACATTTCAGAAAAATTTTCACATAAATTTTGATGAAATGTACTATTAAATCTAATAAAATACAAAGAATTATCTGACTATTCAAAGCAAAATTTTTTTAAAAATTCAAAAATGTACTCCATATTTACTGCAAAATTTGATATTTATGTAATTACTGAAAATCTGAAAATTCGCTAAATTAGTTAGAAAATTCCCACCGCGATGAAGTTAGTGCCATGATTATAGGTATATAAAGAATTTAAGTTAATATTGATAAGTCAGCATAAAATTTGGACTTAAGTATACTGTCCAATAACTTTAACAGGCATATGTCCAGCGTCCGTCCCTGTAGTTTATTTAATAATTAAAAATGTATCCACACTTTTAATTATTAAATAAACTCCAGGGGAGGACGCGAGACATACGCCTGTTAACCTCTGTTTAACTTCAGGCGTCCCCGTCCTCTCACCTGTCACCTGTCCAATAACTTTAAATATAAACTGTGAAGAAAGAGCAATAGTGGAGTGGAGGTAAACTGAATCTGGTATTACCTTATTTCTGCATAAACATTATATAAGAAAAATTTAAACAATTTACTGAACAATTAAGTAGTAAAACACATTCAGAAAGGAAAAGAAAAAAAACTCTCATATTATGTCTCAAACAATGTAAATCATCATTCCCATATTACCTTGCTTGTATACCATAACCTTCTTCTGACGATCCAGGAAGAGTGAAATTCAAATTCTTACCACCTCTGCTTCTAGGTTGAGGCAGGGAATAGAAAATAGTGTAGAAGGTATCCGTCGGACCAGAAAGGGGCTTTGACTCAGAAGAAGCTTTTGCTTTTTCTAAGCCGGAATTGTGCCCTTTTGTTGGAGTCTGTAAACTAGGATTGGGATATCTACCATACTGGCCTGTAAGATGCAATAGCTAGTCGTAATAAGTTATATAAGATGAACCGTAATACAAAATATGAGAAGTTTCTTTTTATTATCACTTACCGTTATACAACAGCTGGGCGTTTTTTATCACCACAGCGCAAAAGAAGATGAAAGTAATCCATGTTTTTACGCAGACGTCCATGAAAATCCTGAAATAATAGAAAATTGTGCGTTATTTCCTTTTGTAACTAATGAATATCAAACATCATTTTCTTCCTTTTTACTCACACATGACTGGATGTTCCTAATTACAAAGTAACTAGAAGAATTTTTCCTGTTTTAAACTAATACCATAATGAAAGTTATAGAACGATCAAAGAAGTAGAAGAAAATTATACAATGTTCTTAATATTAGATGCTTTTTTCAGGAGCAATGTAAACGAAAAAGCATGTTATATTGAAAGATATGATTTATGAGTTTATGACTGCTAGAACGAGGTGTAGCAGTAAAGTTCTTAAGGTATTGATGAAGTATGTGATCTATGGCTTTTACTTAAGTAATTTATTTCTTAGATCGTACCACTGAAACTCTATTTGGAAATATGGAAAAAAAATGCAGATAATTAAGAATACATAAATAAAAATTATTCGATTAATTAATTTGGTTCATCAGCGGCTGATCGGTAAAGACGCTGAACACTGGTGATTCGATCCGGGAGAGCGAGTTGGCTGCATGGCCGGTTCGTGGTTTTTCCAATTTTCCTTAGAAAGTCATCCATAAATTCCTTCAAATTTTGCAGAACAAAAGCAGAAGTGGCCTTTAAAAAGGTTTTTTATGAATTGCCTAGCTGCATACATTATAAATATCGCGCAATATGATCACAAAACAGTCATCACTTTTATTAAACGATCTTTACCGTGCTTCTGCGAGATAATATGTAAGCATTTGCTGTGCAGTACTTCGCATGTTAAGCAGAATCTTTAGCTTCAGAATCTCCCAGCCCGAATTTAATTATTAAGTATTAGTACGATTGACAAGATTGAAAATGTTATTTTAGTGTTTTACAGTTCGATGATCGTATTCTAATAGACCTAGCCCCTTAAATATATATTCGTCTCTCATAATTGAACCAAGCATTGCTTTCCCTGGATTATCGGTAGTAACGTTGCGGCTCCTCTTCGCTACGATATCAGCATCAAAATAAAAAAATACAGTAGCATTCATATTCAAACGCATGATAAAATGGCTCAAAAATGAAATGTTTGAAACAACAACCAGTTTATCAATGCTATCTAAGAAATAACTAACTAAAAGCTGTAGATGGCACACTGCATCATGGCCGTTCTGAGATTTGAATGAGAGCTACTGAACAGCAAGCCTCCGAAGGAAGCTCTCTCTCTAAAAAAAAAAAAGGCTATTGCCTTGGCAGAAGACTTTCTTATTAGAGATTTTGAAAGCTGAAGTGTACACTGATACTCTACCTGTTGTAGATGTATTTAATTATGGCAAAGCTCACTAGGGCTATCTGCCAAAAGGGAGGGATGCCTTCGTGGAGGACTTTCTAAGGGAAACTGGCTCGTATACACGTTACACATGGGGAAAACCACGAAAACACCCATGCATCCAGCCCGTTCGCGGGATTCGAACTTCAGACCGAACTACCAGTGTTCAGCGACGTTACCGCTCGGCCGCTGGGGGGCCCCCTACCTGTCATAAACAGCCTCAGAAAATGCAATTCTTCAGTAGACTTCGAACATTATTGCTAATTTCAAACAGATACAGATGTAAAAGTTAGAGGTAAATTCCCAAAAGGCATTAGACAAAATAGTGCGCTGGGCCAGTGAACATAAGCTCACAATTTCAAGAGCAAAAACAAAAGGAATGCTAATTAGCCCAAGAAAAAGGCAGTAGCATACTCCGTGCGTAAACCTTCATGACAGAAACATACAATCCGTGAGACATTTCGACTACTTGGGTGTGATTATAGACGACAGATTCTCCTGGCTCCCTCACATCAAGGATCTTAAAGAAAGGCTGCATAAATTGTCTAATTCAATGCGGAGAACAGCTGCTGCTAGCTGGGGTGTCTTCTCGCAGATTCTCAAAATATGGTACGCAGCAATAGCTGAGCGCATAGCTCTTCATAGCGTTTCCATATGGGGCGTCAATGTCACGATTAACATGCAACATACATTGAACTCCGCTCAAAGACTATTTTTTCTGGCCATCTGCAGAGGATTCCGTACCTCTTACAGAGTGAGAGTGTTGAGGTGAGAGTGATCAGACTAAAACAAGACGTTACTATTTGGAGTAAGACTTATGTATCCTCGGACTACGAGAATTACATTGCCCACTCTCCTTGCCACCCTGCAGACTTCGATATAGAAGCAAATTGTAATCCTCCAAATGCAGTACAATACTTAGTCGTATATACTGATGGCTCCAAAGAAGAACTCGGGACTGGCAGTGCCTGGTGTGCAATGGAGGGTGACCTCGTAATCCATTCCTGGGCTAAGAAACTTCATCCCAGTAACTCGGTGTTTCTGGCAGAACTTACAGCCCTAAAGGCAGCTCTGGACTTTACTGCTAACAATGGCAGGTATAAAATAATTTACACAGACTCAATGTCAAACTTGCAGACCATCCAGAACGGCCGCAGTAGACACTCCATCGTCAGAGACATGCAAAAACTACTAATTTCGATTCCTGCAAATCTGAGGCCCCAGCTACAATGGGTTCCAGCCCATACGGGGATTAAAGGAAATGAAGCAGCGGATATGATTGCGAAAGGCGCAGCCAATGAACCCCACGTGAGTAGCATTGGTGTGCCCCTTCCGCACTCATATCTGAAAAATACTCTCAAATATGAACTAATGAAGCAGTGGAAAAACTACTGGGAGACAAGCACCACAGGTAGAAGACTGTATGATTTCCAACCAAGAGTTAACCAAAATTTAAATAGCAGCTCTTCGCACTTCGCACAGTATCTGACAGGGCTTGGCCCATATATGTTCTATCTTCACAGATTTCGCCTAAGAGATAGTGACCAATGTATTTCTGGCAGTGATGGTGACCCAGATCACTATCTGTTTGACTGCTCGCACACAGGGAATTCACATTTAAAAAGACCAACTGTAATCAATATGCTGGCATGGTTCAAGAACACAATTAAGAATAAATATATGCTCAGCCGCATTAGAGACTGCACTACCATTGCTAAAAAGCACTGCTGACAGCCTGGAGTGACTTCTTTCCTTGGACACCGTGCCGTCAGCAGCCCGCTCCGTACATATATTAATTTCTTTAATGGCTTTTGGGGAGGTTGCTGCTTTTAATTATATTTAATTTTATGATTAATCCAGAACTTATTTAATGTATTCCACAATTTGTAATGTATTTTACCATCTTTACATCTGTACCTGATTATTATAGCATCCTTATTGTAACTGTATGCCTAACATGTACTATAACAGTGAAAAGTGTTCCGCTTAGTCTCAGCATTCTTTCCATGTTCTGTCCTAATTTCAATGTTCCTCCTTTCGTGGTCAATCTCCGGAAGACACAGTACTAAGCTCTTTATTTATTCATGTATTAATTTTTAATTCCATCGACGGGATCTAACAGGTTGAAAAGCACCTAACCCAGTGGGCCAGCTGTTCCGTCGATGGCGAAAAGAAATGAAAGAAAGTAGACTGCGAACGTTACGCAGAACACTTGCAGAGACATTAAATTATTTTGAAGCAGGAAAGATGAAAAATGAGCAAAGCCCTCGTCGGAACTTCGAACTACAGACCTTTCGAATACGCATCGAGCGTGCTGACCTTCACTCAACGAAGGCGGGAGATATACCTAGTATACTCCTCCTTTTAAAGGGCGACTGAAGTTTAGGGGACCCAATCGCCAAATCCTGGTGGTGAAGAATCATCATTCACCAACTTTTAGTTCGGAACCACTGTAGAGTCATTAGGATTTTTTTGGGGGGGAAAGCAGGATGCATGAAACATGAGCAATGCCCTCGCCAGGACTCGAACCACAGACCTCTCGAATAAGCGCCGAACGTGTTCGCTACTACACCAAGAAGGCATGCTAAAAAGGAAGAAATACCTTATACACTTACTCCACATAGCTTCATGGAAGCACCTAGGAGATACTAGGCATGACGATTGCCATGAAGAAGGGGCAGTATTGAAGAAATAAAATCTGTTTTGTGAATCCAGGGCACAAACTTATCTAACCATATGTAGTTGTATTTATTGCTTGCTCAATAAGTGTGCTACACTGTTTTTAAATAGAAAACCTTAATAATTAAAAATGCCGTTTTTGCAGATTTTAGAGTTCATAAAGTAATGTATTGTTGTATTATCTGTTTTATAAAAGCATTAGGATTAGAATTACCTAGATTATTGCAAAGTATTCGAGATCTGTCTGCCTAAGGAGAGGAACGCCTTTGCGGAAGACGTTATAAGAAAATCTGGCTCGTTACGCTTAGAAACGTATAACAAGCCAGATTTTCTTAAAAGTTCTTCCACATATCACTGATTTTCTTAAAAAAATCGGCCACGTATTACTAATTTTCTTAAAAAGCCAGATTTCCTTAAAAGGTCTTCGACGTATTACTGCTTTTCTTAAAAGGTCAGACACTTGTTACTGATTTTCTTAAAACGTCTTCCACGTGTAACTGGTGTGCTACACGTAGAAACCCGAATAATATTAATAAACACCAAAAACATCTCATGCAGGCTAGGACCATTCACTGGGACTTGAATCCGGACCAAAATATGAGTGTTCAGCGGGTGTTCTGATCTTCAACTGGTTGACGTTTTCGAAAAGATGTTCAATACCTGATTATATTAATATAATATTAGATAATCTTGGCTTAAAATTTCAGTACAATTTATAGAAACTGTTAACTCAAAATTTTTCTTTATCTTCCGCTCCTCGAACCATTCTGTAGTTTTGAGTATGTATGTAGGAGGTACTGGCCTAGCCGACGAATTCCTTGGGGTGAGCTGTCTACCTGTTATATGAAGTCGTTGGTCTTACTTTCCTCAGTGCCGTTCGTTTCATGTATTCCTATCGTTCATGTATATGCTGTTCGTCTCATGTATTTTCATGTATTCCATGGTGTCAAGAATTGACGTTCGATTGAATTTTTCGAACTTCAATTAGAAATGAGCCATAATACGACAGTAGATTGGAATAACTTCT